TTTTGAGTAAGTTTGGGTTCTCTCCTGTTTTTATTAAGCTTGTGTTTGATCATTTAAAGGCTACCTACTTCTCAGTCCTAATTAATGGAGTACCCAAAGGTTTCTTTAAACCTTCTAGGGGGTAAAACAAGGTGATCCCTTGTCCCCTTTTTTATTCATTTTAGCTATGGAAGCCCTCTCCAGAGGCTTAAAAAACCTTGTTTCTACCGGGAAGGTTAAACCCTACTTGATTGGGAAAGAAGGTTTCCCTATCACTCACTTAAGCTTTGGTGATGACATCCTCATCTTTCTTAATGGAGAAGCTAAATCTATCGATCATTAAATTCACATTTTTTTTGAATTTGTATCAAAAAAGCTACTGGACAGGCAATTAATTTCTCCAAAAGCAGCTTTGCTTGTGGTAAAACCTCTCTGGCGAGAATTAGAAATCTTGAAAAACATCTAGGAAAGACCAAGGTCAACCTTCCCATGAAGTACTTGGAAGCAGCCCTGCATATTGTGATAATCTTATTAAAGCTTTTGATAATAAGCTTACTGCCTGGAAGCAAAGGAATTTAAATCAGGGAGGGAGGCTTATCTTAATTAAACATGTGCTGAATACCGTCCCTTTACATGTGCTTGCTCTTGACACTATCCCCAAGTCAGTTATTGATGGGGTTATGGGACTAGACCCAGAGCCTAATCGGTCCAGACCCCGGACTTGGACCAGCAGGCCCAAGCCCAGTGATCCAGAGCTCATTCCGACCCAACCGATCAGGCTCATCAAAGAGTGAAAGCCCAGGGCGGCCTGCCGTCCAGCCCAGCAGGGAGCCTGCCTACAAGCCCAGTCAGCAGCCTGCCTTCCAGCCTACCCGGGAGCCTGCCTTCCAGCCTACCCGGGAGCCTGCCTTCCAGCCCAGTGGGGAGTCTGCCTTCCAGCCCAGTGGGGAGCCTGCCTTCCAGCCTAGCCAGGAGCCTGCCGACCACCAGCCCAGCTAGGAGCCTGCGGTCCAGCCCAGGTGGGAACCTGCCTTCCAGCCTACCCGGGAGCCTGCCTTCCAGCCTACCCGGGAGCCTACCTCCAGCCCGGTCAGAAGCCTTCCTCCAACCTAGCGGGTTTCCCAGGTCAAAGGTGAGTTCGAAGCGAAGGAAGAAAGAATGATGAAGTATCGAGATGTTGTTCGAGAGTTGCTCGGGTTGTTCAAGCAAGCAGGGTTGATCTGCATAACGAGAAATCAAAACTCTGATGAAGACCTCCTCTCAAAGCTATCCCAAGGGTTACCTAAACATATATCGAGAATTGCACGCATTGTGGAGATGACGACCTCAAGCATATCAGCCTCACCGTCCATTGACGTCCTTCCCCTGCAACCAGTCGCCTGGTGTTGGGTGGATGACCTCATGCGCTACATAGCCGACGGGACGCTCCCCGATAAAGAAGAGGAGGCAAGGTTAGTCCGGCGACGAGCTCCGGGCTACGTCGTCTTGGATGGGAAGTTGTACAAGAGGTCCTACAATGGGACCTTGCTAAAGTGTTTACGCCCACATGAGGCGGAAATGATCGTCTCTGAACTCCATGGGGGCGTATGCTCCGCCCATCAGGGGGCAGGCACGTTAGCTAGGAAGGTCGTCCTCCAGGGGTACTTTTGGCCAACAATAATGAAGGATTGCGCTGACTATGCAAGGAAATGCGAGACATGCCAGAAGTTCCAGAAGAGCCCCGGCCGACCAACAACGATGTACACACCGATCAGCATCGCCCTTCCATTCACAAGATGGGGTGTCGACCTGGTCGGTCCCTTACCAACCGGGTCGGGAAACCGGAAGTTTGTCATCGTCGCAGTGGACTACTTTACGAAGTGGGTTGAGGCCGAGCCGATTGTCAGCATCACACATCTCCAATGTAAGAAGTTCATATGGAAGAATATTTTCTGCCGGTTTGGGGTTCCCCTCCAAATAATCTCCGACAACGGAAGGCAATTTGACTGCGAAGCCTTCCGACAATTCTGTACAGAGTGGGGCGTAGAATCCAGTCGAGTTGCGGTCTGCTACCCCCAGGCAAATGGACAGGTGGAGAACACCAACCGGACGATCGTCGATGGACTGCAAAAGAAGTTGGAGGCCCTCGAGACTGCCTGGGTGGAGGAGTTGAACAATATACTCTGCACCTTCAGAACAACCCCAAGGAAGGCAACAGGAGAGACCCCCCCTTTGCCTTGTGTTATGGCTTTGAGGCGAGGGCACCGTTCGAGGCCGTAGTTCCCAGCCGGCGAGTAGAAGAGTTTGAACCAGCCAGCAATGAGGAGAGGCTCCGAGCCGAGCTCCACCTCATTGAGGAAAGAAGAGACCGTGCCTTCATCAAAGCGGAAAACTATCGACGACAAGTCAAGGCGTACCAAGACAGCCGAGCCCGACCCTGGAGTTTTGACGTCGGTGATTATGTCCTAAGACGTAGGAAGGCCAGCAGACCGACAGAGGGAGGTAAGCTCTCTGTCAAGTGGGAAGGCCCTTACGTGGTTGACGCAGTGATCGACCCTGGGACATACAAGTTGAAGACAACAACAGGCCGGTTGGTAGACCGCGTCTGGAATGCCGAGCACCTGATGAAGTTTTACCAGTAGAAAATCGAAGTTTCACTTTTCTTTGTAAACTCCTGTGCTCCGAGCACGGGATTACAATTTGTAATTCTTCATGTGGTCCGCCCCACATCATGAATTCAATATACTTTGCTAGCGATATTTTGTCATCAAAAGAAGTCCAACCTCACTTAGCAATAAAGGGCGGCGGCCAAAAAAAAGGGTACTATGCCCCCCCTCGGTGTTTGGCCGACCTCGGCCAGGCTCTTTAACCGAAAATAGCCAAGCGATTTTCAAGAATCCGGGCAATTTTCTAAAGTAAAGAGCTAGCCGCGACAGTCGAGGCGACGGTAGGGCCGGCCTCCGGGTCGAGGGTACTCAGGATGCTGACCTCCGGGTCCTTTCGAGTGCTCGCCGCCTAACATCGCTGGCCAAGCAGCTCGCACTCTCGTCATCCCTGAGTTGGCGGTGCGGGTTCGTTCTGGTGGATCATGCAGGGTCCGCCCCTGTTGTTTGGCTATCCATGCGGGAGTAACCAGATTATTCCCCAAGTCCGGGCAAACTGGACGGGTTAAAGTGACAGTAGGACTGACCCCCGGGTCATGAACGTTCAGGATACCGACCTAAGGGTCTTCCTCGTCGGTTCAATGTCCGACCTTGTTGGCCAAACAAGTCGCTTACTTGTTGATTCCATATCAATAGCGAACAGATCACTTCTACCCAACTAGGAGGGGCACGGATAGGCTCGGCCACGCCAGCCTAACCGCCCCCGGGAGGTTAGAGAAGCCAGATCCCCGATTAAATTGCTAAGTATTCGTAATGCAAAGTATAGAAAAGGAGGCGTATGAGATAAAAATCAAACATCCATTCGAAACACAAAGTATTCAAATGGGAAACAAAGGAAATACAAAATACAAGATCATGACTTGGTGAACTCATCCTTATCAAGTACGATGGTCTAGTGAGGGGAGTTGCTAAGAATCTCAAGTCTCTCTCTCCAAATCTGGACTCCAGCGCGGCCCATGCTATGGTCATCCCCCTTTCGACGGGTGGTCGAAGGTGACTACTATCCGCCACACTCCAATTAGTGATAGGCCTGCCGCTAGCCACCTTTGCTCCAATCCGAGTTGCGGGTGCCAACCTCCGAATGCTTGCCGCTCAACATGGGAGGACATGAAGCCACTTATCCCTCATATGCTCCCGGCCTAAGCCTCATGCTGATGCCCGCTTGTTGGTATTCCTACCTGCAAAAAAAAGGTCGTTGTTAGAAGGGCACCCATCTGGAGGATCGCCCACCTGTGAAGAATAAGAACGTGGTCCTCACCCGCCAGTCCTATAGCACGAACGCCTGGTAGGAGGGGCACCAAGCAGTAGGGATTCATTCTAATACGTCCTAAAGGTTGAGGCGCCAAGACGTTTGGGACTCATACAGAACAAGGAGACCATCGTCGTCGTGGCCGCTGCACCCTTCGCGGCCTCCATCCTAGTAGCTGTCGCTGAGTGATGGAGGTCAGCAGTCCAACCCGCGGCTGGGCATCACCGTCAACTCACAGAATACCGGCCAACCAAAGGCATGGGACCTGCGCCACAGGCTGCCAGCAGTTGACCAAGTTGAAAGTCGCCAAAGTTCCCTATGTCCACAAGATTAACATTTAACAGTGAACGAACATGGGATTCCTATGCCTGCAGGGATTTTAGGCGGACTGTTGGGGCATCTATGCACGCATGTTTCCGTCTCTCTCAAGGTAAAAGGAAGAAGATGGCAGCAGCCACCTTGCCGCTAGGGAGAAGAACCGCGTCGGGGCAACCGCCGGCCAACGCGGACGCCCGACGGACTGGGATGCCTCCGCATCCGCCGCACGATGGAGGGCAGCCAAGTTTAGACCCGCCGCCTAGGAATCCCTCGCTGTCTTAGATCCGCTGCCGCCGACTTCGTCCGGAGTCATCACCGCCTGGAGCCGCCGCCTAATCCTGGAAGCAACAGTGTCGACCGAGCGAGCGACATCCGACCTGGGGCACTGGGCAATTTTCCGCTCGAGTTCGTTCGCCGTCGTGAAGGTCCGTCCGGTGCAGCCCTGTTGCGGACGAGGGTTCAACCCGGCGACACCTTGCCGCTGAACGACCTCCAGTCTGGAGGTTCACCCAGCGACGTCTGCTGCTGACGAATCGGTCTGCAATTTGGGGGTGAGGCATGCTGGATTTCCGATTGCCGTGCTGCGTTGGGGTGACGCGAGGAAGACGGACGCAGGTCGCAGGAGAGAGAGGAAAGAGAAGAAAGGAAAGAAAAAAGAAAGGAAAGAAAAAAGAAAGGAAAGAAAAGAGAAGGAAAGAAAAAAGAAGGAAAGAAAAGAAAAGGAAAGAAAAGAAAAGGAAGGAAAAAAAATAAAGTCCGAAAATAATTTATGAAGTAATAAAAATGAATTTCAGGGATTTTTGGGAGCTGACCTGGATTCTGAAGTCCGGAAGAAAACTGACGACTGGAGTGCTAGATGCTGAAGGAATTTTTCTGGAGCCTTTTTTGGGAGCCTGATTTAATTTGGGAATTTCCATAAACTCCGAGATTCACATAATCCACAATTATGGTTCCTTGATATGTGAATATTTTTAAATCGGCAGCTGACTTAAACTACTCCCTCTTAGCCGAGTGTACTACTCGACTAAGGGAGTGGGGGACTCGTGATGGGGTTATGGGACTAGGCCCAGAGCCTAATCGGCCCAGGCCCCGGACTTGGACCAGCAGGCCCAAGCCCAGTGATCCAGAGCTCATTCCGACCCAACCGATCAGGCCCATCAAAGAGTGAAAGCCCAGGGCGGCCTGCCGTCCAACCCAGCAGGGAGCCTGCCTACCAGCCCAGTCAGCAGCCTGCCTTCCAGCCTACCCGGGAGCCTGCCTTCCAGCCTACCCGGGAGTCTGCCTTCCAGCCCAGTGGGGAGTCTGTCTTCCAGCTCAGTGGGGAGCCTGCCTTCCAGCCTAGCCAGGAGCCTGCCGACCACCAGCCCAGCTAGGAGCCTGCGGTCCAGCCCAGGTGGGAGCCTGCCTCCAGCCCAACGGGGAGCCTGCCTTCCAACCTACCCGGGAGCCTGCCTTCCAGCCTACCCGGGAGCCTGCCTCCAGCCCGGTCAGAAGCCTTCTTCCAGCCTAGCGGGAAGCCCACCGTCCAGTCCAGCAGGAGGGAGCTCAAGCGTCCAGTCTACCAGCCAGGCTGACCTGCCAGCCAGGAAGAGTAACGACCAACAATCAATGCGCTACTTAATTATGTGTTTAATTCCGTATTAATGTTGTAATTAATTTAGTCATTATTATGTTCAGCAGTTACCATTTGTAATCGCCTATAAAAGGCCCAATTCGAATTTCAAATACAGATATGCTATTTCTGGCTAACTTTCCACATTCGTACTTTTCTAATTCTTGCTTGAGTGTCGTACGTAGTTTTCTTAAAAGCCTACGAGCGTCCTATTTTGGACCAACAGTTATCATAATCCTGGAAAAGAAAATGGCCCACTTTCTGTGAGGATCTCTTGCAATAAAAAACAAATATTATTGGCTTAGTTGGAAAAATGTTTGTTTGCCTGTAGGGGAAGGTGGATTGGGTATTAGATCTTTGTCTGATATCCAGGGAGCTTTTTCCATTAAGTTATGGTGGAAGATGAAGAAGAACACTACTTTGTGGTCTAAGTTTTTCCATTTGAAATATCCCAGAGGAGATGATATGGTAGCTAAGCCCACAGATTCTTATATTTGGAAGAGAATTTGCAGGACTCGTTCAACTGGTTTGGAACTGGTTTCTATTGACTCAAGTGGGGATTATAATTGGTTACCTGAAAGTAGTGGAATATTCTCTGTCTTCTGCTTTTGAAGAGGTCCGTTGGAGCAAGAATTCTTCCTTTTCTTTCAATCATGCTTGGCATAAGAAGCAGTTCATCCAAATTAAACTCTTCCAATGGAAGGTTCTTCATGGTTTTCTGCCGTTTCCTGAAAATATCAGCAGATTTCAGTTGGTCATTTATCCGTCTATATGCCCTATTTGTAGAGGTGAATCTAAATCTATGAATCATACTCTATTCACTTGCTCATTTTCTAAAAAAATCTAGAATTATTACATGGGGATTTTTGAAATTCCGATGCCATATTCTACTACTTCCATTAGACAGCTCCTTATTGGTTGGTGGCTTCAGGCAGGCTCAAAAAACGTTCTGAACATTTTTAAGCATAATATGCCAGGTATTATTGCTTGGCATATCTGGAAAATCTATGCTAAATTGGTTTGGGGAAATCTTTCATCTCCACCCTCATCCAATTTCGTTATTCAGCAAATCAGATTTTTTACTCAGAACTGGACTCTATCCTTCAAACAAACCAAGTTCAGTACGGGAGTTCAATTAGTAAGGGATGAGAAGCTCTTATCTACTTTGTTTCAATTTCATAGGCCGTTTGTTAAAGCTAGCGGTGAAATGGAAACTACCTGAGACGGGTCTGAAACTCAACGTTGATGCCTCGTACAGGATAGGGGAGCGGCAGCGGGAGCAGTGATGAGAATGACCTCTAGAAATCTGGTGTTTGATATCTCTCTTTTCCAATCGTGGCAAAATCAGCACCGGAAGCAGAGTTGATAGCACTTCACACTTCGGTCTCTTGGGCGCTGGCTCAAGCCTATAGAGATTTTTCTGTTGAATCTGGTTCGGAAATGGCTATGGATATTATGGGAAAACAGGGTAATGGAGCTTGGAAGAGCATGGTGGAGGAGTTGAGAAGATGGTCTGTCGGTCAGGGTATTTCGTTTGGACATGTTCTGAGACAGGCTAATTGGACCGTCCATTTTGCAGCTCGGAAATGTTTCTTGGCAGACAAAATTGGTTTGGCCTTTTTTCGGTTTTAATTTTTCTTATTTCTTGTATTTTATTTTGGGTAAGGTTTATGTCCCCCCAAAATATGTTTATTTGTTGTTGGTTTAAGTCTTGCATTTTTGGGAAGGTGTGCCTTCCCAAAAACCTGGTAAATGTTCCCCGGTATTTACCCCACCGATTTTGGTTGTTTAACATTCGGGTTAAAAAAATCAATATAATTAATTCTCCTTAGATTATTAACCATGAGACGCATGCATTAACAATCCAAGTTTACTACCGTTGAAAGAACCGAATTAATAACAAGCGTATTAATCGATTGATTCTAGTAATAATTATTATATGAAACAAAACTAATTGATCCTTTAAGTAATGCTCAAAATATTAATATAAACTATGAATAAGAATTCAATAATATTCAAGGAAGAAGATTAAAGAAAAATAACTCACAACTTACAATTCATTAAGTTTCAAAGTAGCAAAACCAAGATGGAAGAGTTTAGCTCATCATTTGGAGACTAAACATGATGAAAATATAAAGAAAGAACTTATCTAGACTGAGCTTAGAAGTATATAGAAGAAGGAATGAATTTTTGTGAAGGAAAATGGTGCTATTTATAAGTGTTTTTCAACACATTTGGTTGGATACCCGACCGGGTATTTGACAAATCAAATATTTTCCCACATCTTTGTATTCTTCTGCACGTCTTTCTGTCTGAAATCACTTCATATCTGACCGGGTCTATGGAATACCCGACCGGGTATTTGATATAATTTCCCAGAAGCTTCCTCTTTCACTTCATACCAGGCCGGGTAAAGGCCATACCTGACCGGGTTTTGCACAAAACTTAGGTTTCTTCATCCTTTTTTGCTTCCAAACCTATCCTAAACATATAGTCCAACTAGCTACAACTTACAGCATACAATAAAATGCTAGAAATACGATTACAATCAAATGCAAACTAACAACAACAAAGAAACAACGGAGGTATGACATGATAAAATGATAATAAGGAAGGACTTCCACATCGGAGATAAATGTTGGGGTAGAACACGTAGGGGGTGATAATCGAGTACTTGGATTGCTTAAGGATCGTGTAAGTTCACTTTCCTAATTGATATTTCTCTTATATGTCTGGGTTACAAGAAATTCAATCTAGGTTAATCCTTAAGGACACTCTAGAACTTAGACACAAGAATTAGAGCCAAACTAGTGAGTATATGGATTGATATCTTTTGTTGAATGCCAAAAGTGATCAAGAGATGTTGTATATCTCTACTCTAAGTTCTCTGTACGAAATATGGTGATATATAACCATATTACACGTCCTGTACAGTTGCAACACGTTCTGGAATAACTGTGACAGTTTTTGGAAAAATTGCACGGAACTGCCCAACCGCTCTAGACTTCGGTCTAGAATCACAGAGTTGGTCTACTGAGTGTTCTACCTCGAGTTCCACTGCCGTAGACACTTTGGAATAGAACTCATTCGTATATACAAGTGTGCACTCCACACCTCCTAGCTTGTATTAGAAGACGGTTCTAATCCTCATTGGCACTCATGTCATTTCCAATTACACAAAACGGCCGGTGACACTAAAATCACCAACAATAAAGTCCTTTTTCGATCACGCCTTTGTCTATTTCCTGGAAAACTCCGATCAAGGTGGGAAGGGCCGTTCGAGATAGTCAAAATCTATCCGCACGAAGCGGTGGAAATCAAGAGCCTCGACACCGACAAAGTTTTTAAAGTCAACAGTCAACAACTGAAACCGTTCCTTGAAAACTTTAAAACAGAAAACGTTGAAAGCATGGATCTATGCGATCCGACCGAAGAAAAATAATGCTAGTTACAAGGTTGAAAGAATGAGTACATACCAAATGAGTGTCTCCCCTACACTTTTTTCCGAAACATTGTCCCTAGTGTTCGGCACCATGATCGTTGTCGTACCCTCTATAACCGCCATCGCCACCAAGACCATGTTCACCAAACCACAACCAGTGCCTATCATGTTCTAAAACCATAGCCCAAGAATATGACATATTGACACAATGACAATGAACCAAATAAGATAGCCAAGAAAGTTTACATGTTGGAATAAAAGACAATGCAAATAGACAAAATACACACACATATATACATCTTTAGCGGTAATTACTGCACAACTTAATCAAGAGAAGTGGTATGCATGTATTAAGACATTAACACCTTACAGAAGTTGGTTTGGATTTCAGAACAAAGCAATTGCAAGAATAGAAAAAAGTGAAAGAAAAGAAAAACTGCATATTTTTACTTTGAATAAGACTTTAAACAGATGCACATTAATGGATTAAGAAGAAAAAAGTAGAAGTGCTTTCCTCATTAATATTTTCTTAATCACCGGCTCTACTAAAACTCCGGAGAATCAAGAGCCAAAGCTAATTACCAAAGTAATGTGTAGTACCATTCGGCTTTAGAAAATTAAAATATCATATCTTAACTAATTGAAATGGTATATAATGGTAGAATACAAAAAGGAAAGTCTCATTATTTTAATTGTAGTGCCATTACTATGTTAAATCATAGCCCAATATGAGATAAAAAGCTAAAAAAAGAAATTAACATTTTTTTGTTAAAAATCTTGTCCAGACAAGAAAAGATTTCAACAAAAAGTTACATTTAATTTTTCTCTTATTGTCATCATTGTATTGAAACCTTGCCCATAAAAGAAGAAATAAAGAGAACAAAAAAGTGCAGTATTCTCTTCTGATATTATCATTTCTGATATTATTAAAGACAACATTTGATCTAAAAGGTTGAGTGCCCAACCCCAAAGCCCCCCACCCGACCCGTCAGGATGGTGGAGAGGTTAATCACGGTGACTCAATCAGCAAAGCGGCGGTAGGTCTTATACACGTGTGCACCAAAGGTCCAGCCTTATTTCAGGTTCTGTAACCTACACACGCCCGCTGCGGATTTCGAACCTTGGTCACTTGATCCATTTTTTCCACCACTCAACCAACTGAGCTACCCGTGCGGATAATTATTAAAAATTACATCGAAGAGTGCACTTTTGTCTTCTCATCATCATTGTTCTATAAAACGTTAGCCTATGTGGAGCTAGACAAAAATAGTTGAAAAGAGAAACTGCAATTTTCTCTTAGGCAAATTTTGCAAAGAAAAGAATAAATTTAGAAGATTATACCTCTTATTTCTATAATGTTCTCCACTCAGAGTGGACCTAAACTCTGAAAGTGAAATTAACATTTCCATCATTCAGTTAGTTTTTGTTTAAAATCGTGTCCAGTAAGACAACAAAAGATTCCAACAAAAAATTGCATTTAATTTTTCTCTTATTGTAATCATTATATTGAAACCTTGCCCATAAGAGAAGAAATAAAGAGAAAAGTGTTATGTATATATTTAACCGAACACCGTTATTATGAGTATGTGTTAATTATAATATAGATAGATCTATGTCGAATATTTAAAATAGGATAATATGCCTACCACAGTAGCAACCCATTTTTTTTCTCTCCAAAATTGTGCTGGAAACATAGACAGCCGGCAGCCTCAAGCATCCTGAATTTTTCTTCTAGTTATATGAGTGAGAATTGAAACTCTACGTACCCCTGCTACTCTGTAACTAAAAGTACCTTATAAAACATTCAAGAGAGATTATATGCAATATTTGAACAACTGATTCTCTAATCAAATTTTGTGTGCTAATCCATGCGTTAAGAGGATCTATCAAAATTGTGTCATGAATTCTTGACCACAATATCTTATTTTACATGCTTATTTGACAAGAATTTCCAATACATGTTCATGTGATTCTCAAACTTGAATAATCCTTAATCTTCTAGTATACCACTTTTGATTCGCTGGACTCTGGCAGATTTCAAGCTCTTATTTAGTGCTCAAATTCAGTCATTATTAATTTTATTATTTTACTCGGTGAAGAATCAGACTGGACATCAAAATTTGCATAAATTTATTAGTGTTGTTATTAATATTATACGTTTTCAACCTCCAACATTAAAGAGGTGGTTTTGCATTTGATAAATGCATTATTTCAACGACAAAAATCTCTTTGCTTTTGGAGCGTATATAAGTAGTACCCCGTATATACTATACCTAGTAGCTAATAAGATCAAATCAATATACTTTGATTATGTGTATTACATATCATATATGGAGTATAAAATTGAGCAAATATGGAATGAGTGTTATTAAATAGTGAGTTTCCGTTAACTCTACTTTTGTTATGCGTTGCTGCCATTCCGGTCCTAATATTTTGATAGAAAAATGTCCTGATCCTGTGTATCTTTTCGTGAATTAGTGTTTATATATACCAAACGTTTTGACTGGATTATATGATTTCAAAATTAAATGTGAAAATACGTAAGACTATCAAAGGTAAGAAGAGCCTTTCTTTAGGAGCACGATCCTTGTTAAGAAGGAAAGTCATTTTTATCAAATTAGTTTTTTTAATGGCATTTATTAGTCAATTGAAAAATATAACTCCAACGTATTTATTGCCAATAATGGTTAAAGAAGGACATTTACTTGCTCTATTAATGACATAAATTGAATTTAATTAGCATATATATTCATCATTATTATCCTCTATGACATCTAAGTTCAATTGTACTATTTACTACTGCATGTGTGAGTACATGATATGTTTCACAAGTTATTTTTGTTTTCAAAAACCGTCTACTCTAAAATGAAATCGTATTGTGAGTACGTTTTATGGAGTTTTTTTATGCCATGATAATATTCACTTGAGTTAATATCGGTTGCATAACGAATTTTTTTAATATGGAATTTAATGACATTTATTGGTCAATATCAATTACGGAAGAGCAATTATTTATTCAATTAATGGCATGAATTAAATTTAGTTGGCATGTAATAATATTGATAAAAAAAATTTAAAATTCAAACGCTTT